TATAGTTAGATGGCATATATATATATATAACTTTTAGATGAACCTTTAATAGGGTCCATGGGTATGTATAGTTCCAAGACACTTACCTCTGCCACTGTTCTCTCTTGCTGGACCTGTTTATTGTAATAAAATGTAGTCAATTTTAACAAAAATCAATAAGGCATATAGTAATTAGAATTAAAATTAGAAAAGTCCAGGCTGTTTGCAATGTTTGGCTGTGAGTATGAGTGATGGACAAAAGTATAGTTGGAATGTTGATAGTTTTAAATTGAAAAAGGAAAGGGTTGAAAAAGAAAGAAACAAACAAACAAATGAACAAAAATATGGATAGAAAGAAAGAAAAAGGAAAAGTAAAAACAAACAAAAGTAACTGAAAAAAAAAAAAATAAAACAAAAAATGAAAACAAACAATAAGTGGAAAGTGAAAAAGAAAGAAATAAAGAAAATGAAAGAAAGAAAGATATGAACAATAGCAAGAAAGAAAGAAAGGAACAAACAAACAACAAATAAATGCACACTAATGCGAAAGAAAAATAAATAAATAAAGAAAGAAAATGAAAGAAAGAAAGACATGAACAATAACACGAAAGAAAGAAAGGAACAAACAAACAACAAATAAATGCACACTAATGTGAAAGAAAAATAAATAAATAAAGAAAGAAAATGAAAGAAAGAAAGATATGAACAATAACACGAAAGAAAGAAAGGAACAAACAAACAACAAATAAATGCACACTAATGTGAAAGAAAAATAAATAAATAAAGAAAGAAAGAAAATGAAAGAAAGAAAGACATGAACAATAACAAGAAAGAAAGAAAGAAAGAAAGAAAGAAAGAAAGAAAATGAAAGAAAGATATGAACAATAACATGAAAGAAAGAAAGGAACAAACAAACAACAAATAAATGCACACTAATGTGAAAGAGAAAGAAAGAAAGAAAATCTAGAGAAAGTCAACAAACACACATACAGACACAGGCAGAGACAAGAAACAAATGAACACTAATAAGAAAGAAAGAAAGAAAGAAAGAAAGAAAAGAATATTAATTCATAATTTAAGATTATAATCGATGAAGACAATGAAAACAACATAAAAGAGATATATATATATATATATATATATATATATATATATATATAATATAATACTTTTGGTTTAAAAATATGATTCCTTCGCTACATAAACACAATCCTCTTGACACATAATGACTTGTAGGTGTGCCATAAAAATATCCCTCACTGGGAACTAACTAGAGGATGACCGCCAACATTAGCCTTGAAATAGATACCCTACCCAACCTTAGCAAAACCTCTCAGAAGATGATGAATCTATAAATAAGAATTAACTCTCTGACCACTTAACAAAGAAAACTAGCCTAGCCACTCCCACAATAACGAATGTTATAACGGACTATGCCTAAAAACACACGTAAACCAAGAGATAGCTTATTCCTAAAATTTCGCTTGAAGATGAAACGGGACTAAACACTTCAATTCAACTTAATTTTAATAATTATTTGGATGGTCTTGGCTCTCGTTTTTGAAACATGAGAACTCTTATGTAGCGAAGGAATCATATTTTTAAACCAAAAATAATATAATATAAGCTCTACTTCTGTATGGAGCACTGTCTTCTTAAAAATAAAAACAAAAATACTAAGGAATTCTGGATTATGCACCCAACGTGTTCGTTTCTATTTTCTGCATACCTGCACACTTATACTTTATATATATATATATATATATATATATATATATATATATATATATATATATATATATATATATATATATATATATATATATATAATATAATGCCCCCTCAGGCAAAGATTGAACTCTCAAATCTTATGCTACCAAATTCAAGAATCAATGTTTTAATCTGTTGGATAATAACCTGGTGGATAAAAGTTCAATCCTTGGGATGGGTAGTGTACATTCCAACTGAGTGGAAACAGGGAGAGCAATAACCGAGCAATACTGACAAAAGAACAAAACAAGATACCTCAAAACAGGGATAGCAGAATGGGAACAATCTATCCCATAGATTAAATAAAGGGTTAAGCTCAAAATTCTCTGAAGGCTATTCAGAAACCTGAAAAAGGTTGAAGACAACAATGGCCAAAATACTGTTATAAGAAAAACATAGATGAGGGCATTAGACCGACATTAAATAATGAAAATAATGATAACTCCTCGTCCTAGAAATTCCAACAGAAAATTCTGTATTCTTCAAATGTTGATAATTTTTTTTTAAAATTTTCTTTAGACAACTAAATTCTTCTTCAGACAGAAAATTCTGTATTCTTTAAATGTTCATATTTTTTCTTTCAAATTTTCTGTAGACAAATAAATTCTTCTTTAGGCAGAAAATTCTGTATTCTTTAAATGCTGATAATTCTTTTTTACATATTTTTCTTTAGACAATTAAATACTTCTTCAGACGGAAAATTCTTTTTTTTTTAAATGTTGATAAAATATTTTTTTTCAAATTTCCTTTAGACAACTAAATTCTTATTTAAGGTTATTATCATATACGGGCCAATCAATTCTTCAGCCTTTGCAAAATGTATAATCAATTAAGCATCTGTATATATCTTTGAGATGAGGTATTATGATTATTTACATTATTTGAACCATTATCCTCAAGAAGAAGGCTTGAGTGTACAACAGCCAAAACGTTGTGAATATAGCAATGAAGATGAGGATAACAGCCTGAATAATGTAAATAATGTAAGTAGTCAATTAAACATGTAAAAAGCCCTATTTCTTTAGAAAATGTTAATAGCAAAAAAAAAGTTATCACAATCTAAGTAGTTATAGGTTAATTTATGTTTAATTCATATATTCTATGATTGCTAAACTCTCCAAGCCAGCTAAATCCCATTTAACTTAGGAAAATGGCTACTTATGGTGAAAAATTTCTTTTTTTAATCACCCCGAGCAAGTTGATAATGCCATTAAGTTGCAAGTGGTTACAGGGTGTGAAAGAGAATGAGAAGACTTTAGTGAGGAGAAGTGAGGGAAATGAAAAAAAAAGAATGGGATTCAGGAAGACCAAAGATGCTGAAGATAGTGACAAGGAAGCAAGAAATTGGAAGAAAATTCCACAGGTGAGATGCGTGAGAAAATTATTAAACTATATTATTATTAAACTATTAATCTTTTTTCTTTTGCATGACCATTAACTGGAAAGGAGAGCTACTGCAATTTTCATGCTTTAATATTTATCCAGATAAATAGTCCTGATTTTATCTGCCTTCTGAGTTTCAATTATTTTAGGTAAATTTCAGAAATAAATTCATAAGTTTTAAAGACTGGTTTCAAGAATGCTTCCATCAAACAACACTGGATAAAGTGTGTAGTTTTCGAAGGGGACTACTTTGAAGGAGATTAAATGCCAAGATATGAGTTGTAGTTTCGTTTTTATAGCACCAGCCTCAATAATTTTGGATCACATCTCGTACTTATTGCTAGACCTGTTAAAACAGTTCCCATAGTCTTGCATATGCACTGATTCTTTCATGCATCTAACTCTTCAGCATTCTACCTTGTCCAGTATTCATTCAACAGGGGCTGATGACCAACCCTTTTTCTTCCATACATGATCAGCCATGCCTGATTTCATTGTCTCATACCTCACCTAGAGCTTTTTAATGTTCACTTTTATATTTTTTGCCAAAGCTTCAAGGAATAGAGTACACACAGTTCTTGGTCGTGTTATCCACCTTGTTAGGCTTTACTTGGTAGAAATTTCACTGCAGAGTGGAGATGTTTTTGAATATTGTCTTGATATGGTATGGACTACAGATCTGAATCTTTTTCCAATAAGCCCATGATATAAAGTAGATAGGTTGTGATAATTTTCTGGTCCTCATTCTTGTTCCTTCTGTTTCCACCTGATGACACTAATGTTGTTTACAGGGTAGTTATTATTCTGAAGGATATGCTTGATGCTGATCATTTCTTGTTGGTATTTAATTAGGTTGGCACATATGATTTTTGCCAGGTGTTGTTTGCATTGGAGGATCCCTTACTTCACACTGTACGGATACTGGGAATTTAACTTGAGACATTTCTGGTGAAGGTTGACTTGTGATATATATGGATGTTTAGAACCCATTTTCTGTGTGAATTATTCGTACATCCATCCATACATCCTGATTATTATTATTTTCTTTCATTGTGAACTGGATCGAAGGTCTTATTGAGTTCACATGGTTCAGTGATATTTGTAAAGTTTCCTGGTGTGGCCAAAGTATGAAGGTGTCATCGATATATCTCAACCATACTGTTGGATTTAGTGGTGCCATTCCTAAAGTCATTTCCTCAAAGTGTTTCATGTATATGTTCATCATCACTGGTGACAATGGTGAACCCATAGCCAAACCCTCTTCCTGTTGGTATATATCAAACTCTAGTTGGAAGTATGTTTTCCCAGGGAGGGGTTTGATTCCAATCTGTTGGAAATTCTTGTGAACAGGCTTAACATCTGATTGCTGTGGATAGGTGCGCCTCATATCAATTTCACAAAGTGTTCTGTGTTTCTAACATTTGATGAAGACTCCCTGTTAGTTGGTTGAGTATATCCACCAGGGATCTGCTCAGCAGGTAGCAAGCTGATACTCTGCAGTTGAGTATAGGTCTCAATTGAATACCTGTTTTGTTAATCTTGAGGAGACCATATATATACAGCAGCTTGGTGTAATGTTGTGTCAGCTATTTATACTTATTCAATGCAAAAGTATGCTTTGTTCTTATTTAGGATGTGTAACAGCTTCCTCTCAGTTTGTAGGATTGGCTCCTTTTTCACCTTGCTATAGCTGCCATTCCCAACTACATTTGTAAATTTGTCCATCACCACTGTAGTACGGCCTTTGTTAGCTGGCAGGAAGTTGTGTCATTGTAAGGTCTTGATTGCTGAACTTGCTTCCTTTGTGATATTTGATTTAAAGAGCATAGCCTTTTCTAGTACTTGTCTGCATTTCCATTTTAGCTTACCTGTTTGAGTCTTTAGGATCTTCAGTGCAATCTCTACCACTGGAGCCATCATCTCAGTATAGAACCTGCATGCAAGTAGTGGCAAAGTCGAGATCCTTGTTTAGTACTAATTCACTAATGTTACTCAACTGCTGATTATTGATATTGATGACTTCTCTTACCAAAACTGTGGTGGGCCTTGTTGCTGCTCCAACTCTGTTCTTTCATTCATATGTGTTTACCTTTTGAAATTCTTGACTCTATGACTTATCTAGGTCTTGTTGGACTCTGCATTTGTTTGAATTGTGCATTAATGTCCTGATCTGGGTTGAGCAGTGCATACTTGGACTCAGTAGAAATAGGGCAAGCAATAAGGGAAAGGGGAACAGAGAAAAGCAACACTTAATATATTTGATAGGTTTGAGCAAACAGATGTCAGAATAGGAGTTACGAGAAATAACAAAAAGTCAAACCTTATTAAGAACTACAAGGAACAGGAAGATGTGGAGGGCAATGATCACTTACATCCTGAAGGGAAACGACACATAAAAGAAGAATAACAGAGCAGTAATAAAAATAAGAACTAGATGAGATATACTTAGACATCGGTAGTGGAATGATAACAGTCTCCTCCAGTAGATGCTGCTCATTTCTCATTGGTATTTGTTTGGGTTGCCGCATGTGATTTTTGCCAGGTGTTGTTTGCATTGGATGATCCCTTTCTTGACACTGTATGGATACTGGGAATTTAACTTGAGACATTTCTCATGAAGGTTGGCTTGTGATATATACAGATGTTTAGAGGCCATTTTCTGTGTGAATTATTAGTACATCCATGAAGGCCAGCTGATTATTATTATTTTCTTTCATTTCGAACTGGATCAAAGGTCTTATTGAGTTCACAAGGTTCAGCGATATTTGTAAAGTTTCCTGGTGTGTCCAAAGTATGAAGGTGTCATCAATGTATCTCAGCCATACTGTTAAATTTAGTGGTGCCATTTCTAAAGTCATTTCCTCAAAGTATTCCATATATATGAAATATGCCAGGTGTTGTTCACAGTGAATGATACCTTTCTTCACATAGTATGGACAGTGGGAATTTAACTTGATGCATTTCATATGAATGTTGGCTTGTGATATATACAGATGTTTAGAACCCATTTTCTGTGTGAGTGATTAGTACATCCAGGGAGTCCAGATAATTATTATTATATCATTTTCTTCTTTCATTGTGAATTGGATCAAAGGTCTTATTGAGTTCACATGGTCCAGCAGTATTTGTAAAAAAATTGAAATTCCCTTATTGCATCATTAAATATTTGCACTTAACAACTTTAACAAAGTATTGCAATAACAATCATAAATACAAATGCTGGCCATTATTTTAAGAAATGAAAAGATTTCAAATTGAAAACGTTTTCCATTTCGTTGAAACAGACGTTAAACTGTTCTATTTACCCTTCTTTCTTTCATTTTCAAGTAGTGTCTTTGATAGGTCTTGTCTTCTCACCTGATCAAGATAGAATCGTCCATTATTTATCACCTGATGAAGACAGAAGAGTCCATTATTTATCAGGAGACATTATATACTCTAACTTTCTTTATTTCACTCAAAACAAATAGCATTTCTTATATGTCTTTTGTTGTTCCACGTGATCAAAATTTAATAGTCCATTATTTATGAGGTATTGGCAAGGCATAACGACCATGCAAACTAACAAAGGGGGTGGGGACAAGCACAATTATTATATGATAGTTCGCTTCAATAAGAAGCTCATCCATCCTTTATCAATCCTCTACATACTAATTTGAAATCAGAGTTTTCCTTCTCCTTGACTAGTTGCCTACCAAGGCTATAGAGCCCAGTCTGATCTGCTATTTACCCATAGCTAAGAGGAGAGTTGGATTTATAACTTTCAAAAGGGTATTTATCATTCCAGGCCATTGTCCATTATATCAGCGGCACATCCAAGTTTATAGCACCTGGTATTCCTAAGCGGTTACAATCAAGGTAATGACCAGGCTTAATAACCATTAACCAGTAATTGAAAAAGAACTGGTGTTTTAATGTGATATGGTCAAAAGCATACGTGTATATATATATATATATATATATATTTTATCATACATATATATATATATATATATATATATATATATATATATATATATATATATATATATATATATATATATATATATATATATATATATATAAAAAAATATAAATATACATATACATACTTGCACGTACATATATATATTTCTTTCTCAAATGTTATAAATACAGTGCGGAATGTTATATAACAGAGCTATTAAGCGTATATTCATGAATATACATAATATCCAATGTCGATTGTATGATTCAGAGTTTCATACAACCCTGCAATCTTCAGGTGCTGAATACATTCTTTTATACATATATATATATAGAGAGTGTGATGGATAAATTCTTATCGAAACAATGCAAAAAATGAAAATAACACTGATGTCTCAATTTAAGAAATATATTTACCAAAATTACGCAAAAATATCTTGAAATACTAAAGAAAAAATTTATTCAATAAAATCGCCATTGGCTTCAGCCTCAGCCTCCAGAAGACTTCAGGATCTCCTGCAATTTTTCTGGATGGTCTCCTTGTTTAAGTTGGTGAATGTTGCTATAATCCTTGACTTCAGTTCATCTTTGGTGTTACAAGGAATTTTGTTGGTCTCTCACTCAACTGTGCCACACACATAATAATGAAGGGGGTTGCAGTTTAGGGACTTAGGTGGTCAGATGTAAGGGGTGATGTGGTCGAAGAAATTTTCTGACAGCCATGACTAGGTTCTCTTGCTTGTGTGGCATAATGCAGTCCTGTTGCCAGATATAGGCTATTCCAGCAACCACTGTCTTACCTCCTCAAGGCACTTGATGTATGCCTTCATGTTGAGTCTGAGGCCCTCACCAACAAATTCAGGAGTTCTTTACTCATCAGAATAATCAGAGTGAGTTTTTCTGAGCTGCTGTATCTTCATAATCACCATTAGACTCATCCAACTCTTTCCAAATCCTCTGCACTGTTCTCAATTTGACAATCAAATACTCTGAAATGTTTATATTAGAGCTTCCTATGTGAATGCCAAGCTGTACAGCATACTGTTTCCAAATTTCTGGCGGAAAGAATTTTCTCATAGACTGTGCCCAACTGACCCTATTATACTGTGCAGATGACAAAATCAAAAACAAACAACACGTATACGTGAAATTAAAAATATAAAGTGGCAATAATTTACCAATCACACCCTGTATATATACATATACATATACATAGATAGATAGATAGATAGATAGATAGATAGATAGATAGATAGATAGATAATATTAGTGGTAAATATACACATACATATGCAATAATATATATAAAATATATAAATACATATACATACATACATATATATTTGTATAAAGAATAATTCCAAGAGAATAGAATCCAAGTAGAACTCAATGTCCAGGACTGAGTAAGGATATAATAAAAAGGCTTAAGCACTAAATTTTTGAATTTGTAGCTTTGATAAATTGGATCGTATTCTGATTCCAATGGAATAAATTATGACCATGGAATATTAGTGTTAAGCCTTTTTATTATATATATATATATATATATATATATATATATATATATATATATATATATATATATATATATCTTAATCTTCTCTTTTCTTTCTATTTCATTTCCTCGTTATTTTATTTCCTCTTTTTTTATCTTTTTTAGTCTTCTCTTACTGTCATTTTTGGGACTTTTTGAAAAAATTTCCTTCATTTTCTTTCTATAATTTTTTCTCCTTTTATTTCTTTATTCTTTTTTTCCTTCTCTTTTCTCATGCAGAAGATGTCGGTTCTCAATCTGTCCCCAAAATTAAGCAGTGTCAAACCCAGTCAATTCTTAGATGGGCAGCTATTTGGGTAAAGTGAATACTGTAAGCAACCTCCTACAATCCAAAATATGTTTCAACTTCAAGTAACCCACAAAGGGTTGATAAACTATAAAAATAAATCAAACAACAAATCCTACTTTTTTTCATTTCTCTGTACTTTCTTTTCACACTTCTTGCTTGTGGAACTCCCTTCTGTCTCCATGCTTTCCAGCTAACTTTAATCTACAAAAGTTTAAACACAATGGTATTTGCTATCTACTGTCCACCTGATTATTCTTTTCTCTTTCCCCTCATTATTAATATTTCTATTCATAATTCTACCACACTCTGTCACCACTTGTGTCTTAGTGGCCTTATTGCCTTGCATGGGGTGATACCAATTAAAAAATTAAATAAAAAAATAAACCCTTCATTTTTTACTTCATGTTTTTTTATCAGTTCTTTACTTTCTTTGTTGCATTCTTAATTTTTCTCTTTCTTTTTCTTTCTTTCTTTTTTCTCTCTGTTTTTCTCCCTCTTTCTTTCTTTATTTCTTCCTTTTCTTTCTTTCATTGTTTCTTCCTCTTCTTTTCTTTCATTATTTGTTTCTTTCATTATTCCTTTCTTTTTTTCTTTCTTTAGCCATTTGTTTTTATTCTTACTTTCATTTATTGCTCTATTCATTCATAAATATTTTTTTTTGCATGTTTTCCTTCATTTTTTCTTTTTTTTGTTATTTTTCCATTTTCATTCTTTCATTCATTATTTTCTTAAAAGCACACTTTTCATATCCATTCTTTCCTTTCTTTACTGTTTCTTTTTTTTCTTCCTTTGTTTCACAATTTCTTTCGTTTGTTCATTCATTCATATTTTTTTTCTATAATTCATTCTTTACTTCTTTATTCATTATTTTCTTCTTTTTATCATCCTTCTATTTTCATTCTTTCATTCTTTCATTTTTATATTCACACTTGTGACATTTTGTTTTTCTTCCATTTTTGTTTTTATTTTTCTTCTTCCTTTCACTTACAATTTCTTTCTTCTGCTCATTCAACTTTTCTTTCTCTTTCATTCTTATTTCTTTCTTCACTCATTCTTCTTTTCATGTAACATTCTTTCTTTATTTTTTGTTTTTCCTTCATGAAATTCTTTCTTTCATTCTTTTGCCATCTCCATTCTCTTTCATTTCCTTTCTTTATTCACTTTCTCTCTCAGAGATAATTCACTAATTTAAAAAGCAGGCATCTGCCGAGCCACCCTGTCCCCTGTAGCCTGTTCCAATCTTCAATCCCCACAACTTTGCCTTGTCCTTCTTAGCCTCTCCCTTGAGCAATATCCAACCATCATACAAACAAAAACCTGTGGAGTAATTATTGTAGATTCTGACAAGTCTTGGAGAAGAATGATTGCTCTGATATTTTAGAGAGACTGTTAGCTTGTCTGTTAAATTATGGGACTAACAACAACTCTGAGAATAATACTGGTTCCTGAAATTGGTGTAGAAGACAGGTAATGGAATTATGGTAGCAGTTAGGGTGTATTGTTGTTGTTCTTGATGATGGTGGTGGTGTTGCTGTTGTTGTGATTTTGTTGTTGCATATTGGAGAGGGGGAGGAAATAAGAAATGATTATTAATATAATCTGAGTCTTGAAGTGGATTTAAAGACTCGCACAAAAGGCAGGCAAAAATGGAGAAACAAAAAAGAAAAGGGACAGGAAGATGGACGAATAAATTGAAAACAAAGAGAGAGAGAGAGAGAGAGAGAGAGAGTGAGATAGGCAAGATCAAAGAGTGTTAGAAATATATTAACTGAAATAGATAGATAGATAGATAGATAGATAGATAGATAGATAGATAGATAGATAGATAGATAGATAGGAAGCAACTGAGATAGAGAGGAAGATAGATAGTTAAATACATACATATGCCAAGACCAACTAGCTAGTTAGCTAGATAGATTAATAAGAAGTAACTGGGATAAATAGATAGATAGATAGATAGATAGATAGATAGATAGGAAGCAACTGAGATAGAGAGGAAGATAGATAGATAAATACATACATTTGCCAAGACCAACTAGCTAGTTAGCTAGATAGATTAATAAGAAGTAACTAGGATAGATAGATAGATAGATAGATAGATAGATAGATAGATAGAAAATGATAGCGATAAGTCAATATGATAAGGAAATATAGATAGATAGATACACAGATAGATAAGGAAATATATATCCTAAAAGATTGTCTAGTTAGCTAGATAGATAAAAAGAGGCTGTTATAGATGAATATAATAGCCATCTATCCATATTTGTGTGTCTATATATATATATATATATATATATATATATATATATATATATATATATATAAAAATATTTATATATATATATATTTGTGTGTGTGTGTGTGTGTGTGTGTGTGTGTGTGTGTGTTTGCCTCATAATGCATGTGTATGCACATTTCTTGTCTATGAATAAGGGAAATGAAAGCAGCAGGAAAATAGATGTGTGTGTAAGTATGGGCATTTGTCAATCGATAAATGTACCAGTGTGCTGATAGACTGACAGAATGAGAGACAGATATAAACCAAATTCTTTTGCGAAATCAAGAGACAGATAGGCCAGATAGACAGGTATATAGGTAAATCGTGTGAGAGACAGATAATGGAATTTTTAAACCATTAGTTTTTCCATCTTCCAGACTGAATAAAATTACATAGAAAACAAAAGAAATACTTGTAATGAACAAGTGAATAATATAAGCATCATGAATGACTTACATTAGAAATTAGATAAGTAAAATAAAATAATAGGTAAACATTTTTAAATTTTAATGCCCTGAAAGACAGTGATGTGTAGGCAGACATGTCTGTCCATAAAACAGGTTGATGAATTAAGAGTCTTGTAGCTTATTGAGAGAAAAGTATGTTGAGGTGTTGTGAGATATTTAAATGAATAGAATAGAAATTATAGACTGATGTAGATAAAAAAGATAGGTATATAGATATAAGAATGTATAGATGTAAATTATGAGAAAAAGTGATGAATCATTTAAATTACATAAAATATTTCTTGAAATATAGACAAATTTAGTTCTACATATATATTATATTATTGATATATGTCTCTTTTTTTATTACTTCAAATTTTATTTTTAATGGATACCTGTGCTTGAAATGGATGCCCATTTTTCATCTTAAATTATGTGTATTACATTGTTATAAATGTGCATATGGTAGCAGGTAAGAACAAATGAAAAAAGTACCATTGGTGAGGCATAAGACAAGAATTCCAAATATAAAATTTATTTTGTATTGCCAGTACAATGCATGTCAGCAGAGTGTCTCTATGTGGACAAGGTGTAGTGATTTGGAGGTGGCTGGAGTTTGTAAGTCCTGGAGTTGATGTCTTTGTTGCATTGGTTGATCCAGTTTATGGTGGGGACATCAAGAGAGACCTGGAATAGATTAATGAAGTTTGATATTTGCTGCAAATTTCTTTGCTGATACAAAGGATGTGAGCAAAATGTCTCTGTGGGTATGGTGTAGTGATTTTAAATATGGATAGAGGTGGTAAAGTCTGAACTTGATGCATTTTGCGGGTTGGTCAACCAAGGTCATGGTGGGGACATTGAGAGAGGCTTGCAGTGGATTAGTGAAGTTTGATATTCGGTATGAATCTGACTTTGCCGATACAGAGGATGTTAGTGGAATATCTCTGTGAATATGGTGTGGGAGTTTGGAGGAGGAGGCTAAATTTTAAGCTGATATTTTTGCCAGGTGGTTTGACTAAAGTCACTATAGTGACATTGAAAGCCCACAACTGACAACTAAACTCACGGCCACCTTTTGTTTGCTTCTTTCCCAGTTGTTTATCAGTGACTTTCTTAAAAACAAATCTGCTGGCTCCTGAGCTCATCTTTGGCTTCATGATTGGCTTCTTTTATGTTGTATTTTAGATTCTTGCAGGGATTTCTTTTGTGGGCAGGATGTGATGCTCGGAGCCCTAGTGCAGAAGATGACTTATTTTAATTTTGGGTTTTACTTCCTTAGCACTCAAATCTGGCCAACAAGTAAAGTGAATCAGAAAGAGATCTAATTTGCAGCAGAGTATAACAATTTCTGTCTGTCTGCACACTAGAAAATTAATAAAGAATGTGCACTTGGCTTCAACCTGCATTGCCCTTTGTAGGAGAAACCATCATTTCATCCAGTGTGTTTTTAACCACTTGATCACAGAGAGCATCATAGACAAGAAAGATTTATTTTACATTTTAAGTAATGCACCCCTCCTCATTCAGATTTTTCTCAAACGCCTCTATCTGCTCATTTTTATGTCCAAAATGTAAACAAAGCAATTTTCAAAGAATTAATGGATTTATTTTTCATCAAACATTTTTATTATTTTTTTTATTATTTTAATTAACTATAAGTTTGTGAAAGTAAAATAGTGACAATACAATATCATAAAGTAAACAGATATACAATGTGATCAGTCCTGATTTGGGGCCTTGACGCCAGTCACTTTCTCACTGATGTAATGTGGCTTCCTTCTGTCTTTTTTATAAATATTTTCATGCATCTGCTCTGATGAGCTATTTTCCCTGGTGCCCCAATTGCATGAATTTAAGCATGCTACTAGGTTGGCACCTCGGTCCCACCCTTTTAATGTTGAAACACCAGAATATAACCACCTCTTCTACTCCAACAGCTACTTCTGTTGCACTTTGCAACAGTGGAACTCCCTTCCTCTTGTTTGCTACCCTGATAACTATAATCTTCAAAAATTTAAATGTAATGTCAATCGACGTCTTCTGATGCCTTGACCCCTGTTCTTCTTTTTATTCTCCTCTGTTCTTCTTTCTACCCTTTCCTCTAGCCCACCCCTAGACCTGGTCTTTTTCCTTACTTATACTCTCTGTAGCCCTTTGTGTACTAGTGGCATTTCTGTCTTGCTTGGGGTGAATTACTTAAAAAAAACTCTCTCTCTCCCTTTTGACATATATGAGAAATAGAGAGAAAAAGTCATAATGGCTTATTCAATATATTCTGCCCCTCCCACATGCATATACAAACACACACATTCACAGATATATATATATATATATATATATATATATATATATATATATATATATATATATATATATATATATAAATAAAAAGAAAGAACAACAAGATATATAATCCAGTGTTCTTATAGATATTTTTATTTTTACAAAATAGTGCTCAATGTAAATTTACAGAGCATTAATATTATAAATTAATTGATTTAAAATGTGTTTTTTTCGCTACACAGTTCTAACCATGTTTCAAAAATGTAAGCTAAAAGCCACGAATTTAATTTTGTGATTAAATTAAAGACATTAGTTCCATTTCATCCTCAAGCGAATTCGAACTGTGTAGCGAAAAAAAACATATTTTAAATCAATTAATTTATAATATATATATATATATAGCTTTTTGAATTTGTAGGTCTGATGAATTGGATCATGATTACGATTCCAATGTAATAAATTATAACTATGGAATATTTGTGTTTTGAGCCTTTTATATTATATTATATATATATATATATATATATATAGACAATATATATATATATATAGACATATATATATATATATATATATATATATATATATACACTCTACAATTAAACAGAAATTTAGGTTTACTCAAAAAATAAGGTTTCCACTCCACAGAAAGCTTTCTACAAACCCTCACCAACCTTAATCATGACAAACAACTACTCAAAATCAAACAAGTATAGCAATTTAAATATTTTGAAAGTGTTTTAAAAGAGAACAGAATGTATGACACTGAAATCTGAAGGCATAATAGGTTTGCGTAAGATGTCTTTCAAAACCAAAGAAGAGTATTAAGAAACATGAAAAATTTAATTAGAAATGAAGAAAAGAGTACTGAACTGTTATGTAATACCTGTCCTCATATATAGCAGTGAATGCTGGACAATCTCTTTACATTACAGAGGAAGAAGAGAATTGAAGCAAATGTGGGTCTACAGAAATATACTAAAAATACTGAAATTTTTAAGATAAGGAATTATCATTATCATAAGCCTTTCTTTAGGACAGCATTCTCATCTAGGTTGAACCATTTGGTAATTTCTTTGGAATATTAAAGATGTAGAATTATTACAGAATACTTTACAAGTTCTTCTTGGTTGTTATACTCACATTTCATCTGTTGTATTCTTCAACATTCTTCTGGTGTCTGTATAATTCTTCTGACAGTTGCAGGTTCAATCCCTGCATCTGTTAGTGCTGAAAAGTAATATACTCTAGTAAAGTGGAAGAAACAAAGACACAACACTAAAGGTGAATGATTTAACTATGTGAATTAAAGAGTTTGGTTAGAAATACTAAGACAGTTACTGAGAACAATAAAAAATCAGAAAATGTTCAGTTGTACTATCATGTAAGAATAAGAAATTCTAGTCAGGGATGCACTGATGGCATTTATGTTATCAGGTTGTGGTGATCACTTACATGTGCCACACCTTCGCTTTCTTTAATGTCATTGGTTCATAACTATATGATACTTATTATATGACAATTTTGCCATCACATGTAATTTTAAATTTTCTCTAAAATCAAGGATTGGTCCATTTCCTGACCAATCACATATTTTAGTATCTTTCTATATTTTTGGCACCAAGCTCACTGGAGGCTATGCATTGTTATACAAACTCTTTCGCTGTTAGCCAACAGCCAGTAGCAGTTCAATTCTTGGAAAATAAGGCACGTCGCTATATTGACATTTTAATTCTTAATTATTACTCATTCGAGTAATCATACTAATTCTAATTGATATCACTCATGAACATTACATCTTTCTACACTGATAAAACACTATGGAACTATTCTTTATTTAGTTAAGACTTCAATTGAACTTTGTAGTTAAATAACATTCAATATTGTACTCAACATTAATTAGCTAAACTTACCCTTTTTATTACGAAAAAAGGGAAGCAACTTTCTTTATACTATTGTTGATATTTGTATATCATTGTTAATACAATATTTTATTAATTTTCACTGAGCTTGATTATTTTTCTCTCGTGTTTGTTGTGCATTATTCACGTGAGGTGTTGTTTTACAAGAACACAGCCTTCTTTAATCTTGATTATATTCACGGTGACCCTAGTCAACAATACTTACAGCACCACTACAAGGTAACTCCAGTTTGGTTCCAGTAATTTATTGAATAGAATGTTGTATACCTGTTATATTGATCTCAGTCAATGCCCAATCTTTCCCTCTATACAGGGTGCCATGGATAATTGTCATTTAAATGACACAAAAATAGGAATAACACTGACATTTCATTTTAACAGATATATTTACCAAAATTACACAAAAATATCTTGAAATACTAAAGAAAAAATTTAGAGTCTGTCTATATTATATATATAAGAAAAAATTTATTCAATAAAATCGCCATTGGCTTCAGCCTCAGCCTCCAGAAGACTTCAGGATCTCCTGCAACTCTTATGGATGTTCTCCTTGTTTAAGTTGGTGAATGCTGCTATAATCCTTACCTTCAGTTCATCTTTGATGTTACAAGGAATTTTGTTGGTCTCTCACTCAACTGTACTACACACATAATAATGAAGGGGATTGCAGTCTAGGGAGTCAGGTAGCCAGATGTAAGCGGTGATGTGGTCGAAGAAATTGTCTGACAGCCATGACTAGGTTCTCCTGCTTGTGTGTCATGGTGCAGAGTCCTGTTGTCGAACATATGGTTTTCCAGCAGCCACCATCTTGACTCAGGGCAGCACTACCTCCTCAAGGCATGTGATGTATATCTGTGTTGAGTCTGAGACACTAGGGGAGGATGAATGGAGGTATAACATTGCCATCACTAGTGATCACTCCAAACACCTTTATAATCACCATTAGACTCATCCAACTTTTTTTGCACTGTCCTCAGATTGACACCTAAACACTCAGAAATGTTTGTATTGGAGCTGTCGATGTGAATGCCATTTCCAAATTTCTAGCAGAGTAAATTGTGTCATAGTGCTCTTTTTCTCACTGAAGGTGCCCAACTGACTCGACTATACTGTGCACTCAAAAAAAAAAAATCAAAAACAAACAATGTGCAATATTAAAAATATAAAATGGCAACAATTTACCCATTGCACCCTGTAGAAATGACAATTCTCACTATCACCTTTGACATTTTAAAATTTAAATTGTTTTTTAATAGTGACAGACTGTTAACATTTTTCATCTATTTTAGTATATACTTCAGCTTCCCATTTAAAACATGGAGGATGTTTTTTAGCTATTATAAAATTGAACAAGAGATCTCATCCAATATATCCTGCTTTCCATGTTACTCATTTTTTTCTGTCTTTTGCTTTTCAACAATTCTGGTATTTTGCAGCCTCACAGTCTTATTCAGATCTCTCCCTTTTTTGACCTGGTGCTCTTTATAAGCTTTCTCTTTCTCTCTCTCTCTCTCATTCTTTCCCTCCTTTTCATTTTGCTTTCTCTTTTTCTCTCTTATTCTTTCCTTTCATTTCACTTCTTATTCTTTCCTTCCTTTTCACTTTTTCTTTTTCTCTTATTCTTTCCTTCATATTCTTTTTCCTTCATATTCCCTCTTTTTCTTTCCTTCATATTCACTTTTTTCTTTTCTCTCTTATTCTTTCCTTCATATTCACTTTTTATTTCTTTTCTCTCTCTTTATTTCCTTCATATTCCTTTCTCTTTCCCTCTCTTATTCTTTCCTTTTTCACTTTTTTCTTTCTTTTTCTCTTATTCTTTCCTTCATATTCACTTTTTTTTCTTTCTCTTTCCCTCTTTTTATTCTTTCCTCCTTTTTTTCATCTCTTTTTCTTTCCATCCTTTCTTTTCTTTTCTTTTCCCTCTCTTATTCTTTCCTTCCTTTTCACTTTTCACTTTTTCTCTTTTTCTTTCCTTCATATTCTTTTTATTTCTCTTTCTCTCTTTTCTTTCCTTCATATTCACTTTTCTTTTCTTTTTTTCCCTCTTTTATTCTTTTTCCTTTTTTGTTTTCATCTCTTATTCTTTCCATCCTTTCACTTTTTTCTTTCTCTTTCCCTCTCTTATTCTTTCCTTCCTTTTCTTTTCTTTCTTTTTCTCTCTTTATTCTTTCCTTCATATTCTCTTTTTCTTTCCTTCCCTCTTTATTTTTTCCTTCATTTCTCTTTTCTCTTTTCTCTCTCTTATTCTTTCCTTCATATTCACTTTTTTTTTTTTTCTTCTCTTTTCCCTCTTTTATTCTTTTCTTTCTCTTTTCTCTTTTTCCTTCATATTCTTTTTTCTTTTTTTTTTCCCTTTTTTATTCTTTCCTCCTTTTTTTTTCATCTCTTTATTCTTTCCATCCTTTTCACTTTTTCTTTCTCTTTCCCTCTCTCTTATTCTTTCCTTTTCACTTTTCTTTTTTTTTCTTTCTCTTTATTCTTTCCTTCATATTCACTTTTTCTTTCTCTTTCCCTCTCTTATTCTTTCCTTCATATTCACTTTTTTCTTTTTCTCTCTCTTATTCTTTCCTTCATATTCACTTTTTATTTCTTTTTCTCTCTCTTCTTCTTTCCTTCATATTCACTTTTTCTTTCTCTTTCCCTCTCTTATTCTTTCCTTCATATTCACTTTTTATTTCTTTTTCTCTCTCTTATTCTTTCCTTCATATTCACTTTTTCTTTTTCTTTCTCTTTCCCTCTTTTATTCTTTCCTCCCTTTTTACTTTTTCATCTCTCTTATTCTTTCCATCCTTTCACTTTTTCTTTCTCTTTCCCTCTCTTATTCTTTCCTTCCTTTTCACTTTTTCTTTCTTTTTCTCTCTCTTATTCTTTCCTTCATATTCACTTTTTCTTTCTCTTTCCCTCTCTTATTCTTTCCTTCCTTTTCACTTTTTCTTTCTCTTTCTCTCTCTTCTTCTTTCCTTCATATTCACTTTTTATTTCTCTTTCCCTCTCTTATTCTTTTCTTCATTTTCACTTTTTCTTTCTCTTTCTCACTTTCATTATTTCACTCCTTTTCAATCTTGCTCCCTATTTCTCTTTTATTTTTTGCTTCATTTTCAATTTTTCTCTCTTTTTCCCTCTCTTATTCTTTCCCTCCTTTTCTCTTCTTTCTCTATCTCTCTCTTATTCTTTCCTTCATATTCACTTTTTATTTCTTTTTCTCTCTCTTATTCTTTCCTTCATAATCACTTTTTCTTTCTCTTTCTCTTTCTCTTTCCCTCTCTTATTCTTTCCTCCCCTTTTTACTTTCTCTTTTTTATTTTTTCTCTCTTTTCATTTCTTTCTTATTTTACCATATTTTTCTTTTCCCTTTACTTTCATCCCTTTTCTCTCCGTTTTTCATTATTTCTGGTTCACTTATTTTCTTTCTCATCCACTCTTATTTTTTTTTCTATTTCACTTTTCTCTTTCTCTCTCGTATTTTCATCACCTTTTAATTTCTTTCTCTTTATCTCTCCTTCGTTTACATTCCTTCCTTTCTGTTTTTCATTCTTTCTTTCCTTTTCACTTCTCTTTGTTTTTATCACTCTTTTTTTTTTTTACATTCTTTTTTTATTCCTTTCTCTTTCTCTCATTATTCCCTTCCTCTTTCTTCCTTCTTTTCTCTCTGTTTCCTCTTATTTCACTTACTCTTCTCCCTCACTCTCTTGTACCTTCTATTCTTTTTTCATTTTTTTTTCTGCTCTTTTGCCTTTCAAATTTCTCTCTGTTTCTCTTTCTTTCTTCTTGCTTTCTTTCTTTCAGTCTCTTTCTTTCTTTTTTCTTTTTCCAGCTTATAATTTATCTACAGTGAAAGAAAGTGGCATTTTATGATTATTTATTTGAGACAAATTTTTTAAAATATATTTCTTTTTTTTGTCTTTATTTCTTTCTTTTATCTTTTTAAAAAATATATTTCCTTCTCTAATTTTTATTTCCTTCTCTCATCTTTATTTCCTTCTTTCACCTTTTTTAAAAAATATATTTCCTTCTCTCATCTTTTTATCATTGCATCTACAGAATATGTTTAATTTTTTTTCTCTGAAATAATTTTTTTTCCATTTGTCTCCATTGATTGGAGAGAGTCATCAATATTCGTTCAGGTACTTATGAGATTTTTGCAGAAGTGGGAGGAAACATGGTGAAGGGAAGAAAGAGGTGGAAATACCAGCCATGATCGATTGGTCTTTTTAACAGTGTTTTTATCTTCCATTTTTCTTCAGTTTGTTGCCTTTTAGTTTCTTTCTTTTTTTCTTATTGTTCTCTTTCTTTCTTTGAATATCTGTTTTTCTTTTAATTTTTTCTTTCTCTCACTTCTCAACATTATTTTCTTTCTTTTTCTGTAGTCTCATTCATTTTGTATTTGCTCTTTTCCTTCAATTCTTTGTTTCACTTTTGCAGTACTGAGACCTTTCTTTTTTCTTTCTTTCTTTCTTTCTTTTTTCTTCTTTCTTTCTTTTTCATTCTTTCTTTTTTCTTTGTTTTTCTTTTTTCTCTCTATCTTTCATTTTCTTTCTTTCTTTATCATTTCATTTAGAGATATATTTTCTTTATTTCCTGTTTTTTGATTTTCTTTCTTACTTTTACTTTTCATTCATCCTTTTTGTTTTTTTGTTTGTTTGTTTGTTTGTTTCTTTCTTTCTTAATATTCTCCATTTTTCTTTCTTTCTTTCTTATTATTCTCCATTTTTCTTTCTTTCTTTCTTTTTTTCTTTCTTTCTTTCTTTCTTTCTTTCTTTCTTAATATTCTCCATTTTTCATTCTTTCTTTCTTTCTTTCTTTCTTTCTTTCTTTCTTTCTTTCTTTCTTTCTTTCTTTCTTAATATTCTCCATTTTTCTTTCTTTCCCACTTCCATTGTTTATTTCTTAATATTCCCCACTCTTTTCTTTCTTTCTTTCTTTCTTTCTTTCTTTCTTTCTTTCTTTCTTTCTTTCTTTCTTTCGCATTTTTCAAATATAAATTTTCTTTTTTTGCTGTTTTTGATTTTTCTTTTTCCTTCTTTCTTTCTTTTTCCAATCCTTAAATCTTTTTCTCTTTATTTCTTAGTTTATTTCTTAATATTCTCCACTTTTTCTATCTTACTTTCTATGTCATTTTTATTTAAATATATATTTTCTTCTTTGCTTCTTTGCTTTTTCTTTCTCAGTTTTATTTTTCATTCCTTCTTTTCCTTTCCTTCTTTTTTAGACTTTCTCTTTTCTAAAACATTTTCTATCTTTCTTTGATTCTATAGGCTTTTTCTTCATATATCTTTCATTGTTTTTTTCTTTTTTGTTTCTTACCTTTACTTTTCATTCTTTATTTTTTCTTTCATTATTTCTTTCTTTTTTATGTTCTCTTTCCTTTCTTTTCCTCCTTCTCCTTTGTTCTTTTGCTTTTTCTCTTTACTTTTCTTGCTCTCTTCTGTTTTTTTTTCATTCTTCCCCTATTTTAGCCCCCAGCAAAATAATTTCCAATTTTCCTCATCTGCCTTTTTTCCTTCCTGTTGACGGATATAAGGTATTAATTCTTTTGTGCTGAGTCTTTTAACCAAAGACATCACCATTTCAGGCAGTTCCAACATCGACATTTTCATTAAATGTGCTTAAGATGAACTTAAATTTGACAAATTTCACAGGAAAACAAATGAAGAAACGGCAAAGAATTAACAAAAGTGTCTTTGTAATTTCTTTCTTTCATGCCTTTTAAAGGAGAAAAAAAAGGACCTTTTTGTGTTGTTATTCGTTAAATTTTCAAATGGAAATTTATTTCATATTATATAAAACGCTGATAAAAACTCCTTTATCCCATTTTTCAGTCTATTTCATATCACCAAAGTTAAGCAATATCAAACCGGGTCAGTACCTAGATGGGTGACCACTTGGGAATACCGGGTGCTGTAAGTTAATCCTAAGCCATTCCTGCTGGAGTTCAGTATATTTTTATTTTTTATCCCCTGACCCTGTAGGGTTGTAGGGGCACTATGTGTACTGCGACTGCAGTAGAAGTGGTGCGTCTTGAGCAAGATAGCCTGATGGAGCCTAACCCTCTCTATGCTGGTTTTGAGTTACTTTCTCCTAGAGTGGTTGCACCCAAGGTTATAGAACCCAGTCTGTCCTGCTATTTACCCATTGTTGGTGGGAGAAGAAGAGGATTCATACCTTTCACAAGGGTATTAGCACGTAAGTGAATGTAACAGATCTGACTGGAATTTGAACTCAGCTCTCCGATTCCTCAATTCAAGCAGCTATCCATTACTGCACCGTACCTCCTATTATATTTAATTTATGCGCAAATACCCTTGGGAAAGATATGAATCCACCTTTTCTTACCCCCATCTATGACTTGTATTACGAAATGATTATTATCTGTAAAAAATTTCTTATAATCTAAAGATATTTTCTGGCTTTAAATGCCCTACAAAAGTTGATAAGCCATAAAAATGAATCAGTAAATAATAATAAATAATATTCAGTTTTTCTTACCTAAATTCACAATAAGTTTTAGCTTTTAATAAATTTTGACTCAAAGAGACAATAGTTGTATAACCAAGATGTTGATGTTCCACACTACTTCAACAAAAGGTTAGGAAGGAAACTCCTATTAATACTGGAAAAAGGAATAACATTTACTAGACTTGGGAAACCTATTTTCATGAAAAAATTGTTTTGATAGAAAGCTTTTATACATTTCTACAAATAATAACAGTGGCTTATCAGTCAATGAATGCTGAATGTTTCCTTATAAGATAATGACAAATATTACCATGACCATTAGAGATGAGGAGAACAGATACTACACTTTCATCCTAGTCTAATTGCCAGATACAGTGCAACCACAGTTCTTGAATGTCTCATATGCTGAACAAATCAGTTTTTGAACAGGAAATTCAAGATGCCTCGGTTATCAAACAAAATTTCAGTTCTCAAACAACATTGCCAAACCAAGTTAACCCGAATAGAATAATTTCTGAGTCAACCACCATATTGTATACATCCATGTGTTGTGGTGTGCTTTTCTTTTCCAATTTTATTGTACTGTGACTTTTTTCTCTACATTGATGCCTATTGGAAAAATAGTTTCGGTTTACAAACATTTCGGGTTACGAACGACCTTCAGGAACAAATTCAATTCATGAACTGAGGTTCCACTGCAGTTAGAAAAGTATAGTTTGAGTAGCACTGGCTTTTCTGTCAATGAATGCAAAATGTTTCCTTATAAGGAAATGGCTAATATTACTGTGGCGGACTTCACCACATTAATTTAACTTTTGATTAGGAAACAAGGCTCATGCAAGAAGGATAACCAAAAGACATTGTTACAAATAAAATATGTATATTAACAAGATGTACAATATCAAACAACAATGTGAAATGAAACAGGCATTTAAGTAAGAAAAGTAGAATTAACCAAGAGTTGCCTTTCTTTAACTGTTATTTTAGAGTTCAGTGAGAGATAGTTATTTGGTTTAATGTTCACTGGATAAATGTTCATGAGAGTTTCTTCTAATGATTGTTCTTGAAAGATATTGTTGTGTAAGAAGAGTTTTTTGTGAGTGTGTACAAGGTAGGTTCAGCATGTGTGTGTATGTGTGTGTGTGAGTGAGAAGGTTGGTGCATGGTTTCAACTGTCGTGGATTCATTTAGCAGTTGAGTTCTCACTAGTTGAGATGAAAAAATTCTTGGCTTAAATAAGCAACTATAGGCTCCAAATTGTTGCGTGGGAAAAATTATTCTTCACATGTAAACAATCTGATTGGTTGGCATAAGCTAATCAGCAAGCGAGCTTTGGGGAGACTTAAGAAAGCTGCTGTGATCTGCTTCCCCCAAAAGTGCACAAAATTGACTACTTAAAAACAGAGCAATTACAAAATTGTCACATTACTTTAATTTGTAAATTGCCTGTAGAAATGTAGTGGTGATTTATTAATTAATTTATAAATTTTTTTTAAGCATTCAACCCCAAGCAAGGTGGGAAGCCATTAGCAAGCAAGGGGTTACAGAGAGTTGGAGGAAAGGATGAAGAGAAGGTTAGGGGATAGATCAGGGCATCTGGAGACGTCGATTGAGATTACATTTGAATAGTTGGAGATTATATATATCAGGAAAACAAGAAATGGCAAGGAAGTTCTACAGGCGGGAAGTGCAAGACATGAAGCTATTGGAGTAGAAGAGATGGCTACATTTAACAGTTTCAACAGTGAAAGGGTGAGAGCAAAATGCCAACTTTAAATTCATGAAGTCTAGGAACCAGCAAAAGCAGCTCATTGGAGTAGTTACCGTGAAAGTATTTGTAAAATAACAGAGGGTGGCAATGGCACATCTGTGAAAGAGCGACTGCAGATGAGATACCAGATCAGGGCCAGTTACATTGTATATCCATCTTTGGATTTTATCAAGGACCTTGAGCCAAACAGAAGGGGCTTCAGACCAAATATAGCAGCAATACTCCATGCAAGGGCGAATGGTTGATTTGTACATTTGAAGGATTGACTCCATCGAGAAAAATTTCCTGGTGTGGCATAGGGAGCTGACTTTCTTTGCAGTAGACAAAGCTATTGACTCAATGTATTTGTTCCATCTCAGGTCAGCAGACAATGTGAGACTGAGCAGTTGCAAAGAGGTGCTCTCGTGAAGTTGAGCTTCAGAGGCAGGGATGGTTTTTTCTGGTGAGTAATGGCGAGCAGTTTTTGAGGCATTAAAGTTAACCAGCCAATTCCTGCCCCAGTACACAACTGATTGGAGGTCCTTTTCGAGACAAATGGCCAGGTTAGATTTGTCGGCAACACTAAATTTGTTTTTGAAGCAGGAGTAAATAGTACAGTTGTCCACATAGATGCCTACTTGGGAACCTATGACATCAGGAAGATCGTTAATGAAGATAAGGAACAGAGTAGAATCTAAGATAGAGACTTGGGATACACCTGCATTCGTGGGATAGGAGCTGGAGGAGAATCTGTTGAGAACAACCTTCAATGCATGGTTTGACAGGAATGATTGTATTAAGTCAAACAATCTACCATAACCCTGAAGCTTGTAAAGAAGGCTGGCATGCCAAACCCTATCAAATGCTTTGGAGATATCTAGAGCCAGGGAACAAGCTTCTCTGTTATTATGAAGTGCTTGGTAGACAATTTCAGTTAGAGCTGTAATCATATCAGCTGTAGAATGGGCAAAGCAGAAACCATATTGCTTGTCAGAGAGCAGATTATGGGATGTAAGGTGCATAAACACTTTGGCATTGATTAAAGCTTCAAAGACTTTGCTGAAGAATGGTTGGAGACTGATAGGATGATAATTAGAAGGGTCAGAAGGGTCTCCAGGAACAGTGGATGAGGACTTCCAACAGTGTGGAAAACAAAATTTAATGAGACAGTAGTTGTATAATTTGGAGAGGGCAGGTGACAGATAAGATGCACATTTCTTCAGGACAATGGCTGGTATCCCATCTCCACCACTAGCCTTGTGGGGATCTAATTTAGAGATGATGTCCAGAACCGATGATGGGGTTATGTGCAACTCGCTCAATTGAGCCTCAGTTCTAAGGGGAAAATTGGGTGTGGGTACATAAATGTTTCCTTATAAGAAAATAGCTAATATTACCATTACCATTAGAGATGAGACAACAGATATTACACTTTTATCCCAGCCCAAAAATTAGGGAGTGAAAAAAGCATAATTTGTGTAGCATGGGCTGTACCAACAATGAATGATGAATGTTTTCTTATAAAGAAATGGCTAATATTGCCATTACCATTAGAAATGAGGACAACAGATATTACACTTTTATCTCAGCCCAAAGGTCAGGGAGTGAAGAAAAGCCTAATTTGTGTAGCACTGGCAGTTCAGATAATGAATGATAAATGTTTCCTTATAAGGAAATAACTAAAACATCTAATATACCATGAGAGATGAGAAGAACAGATACTACTCTTTGTTTTCCAAAACATTGACCGAAAAGTGAAGAAATGTGCCACTTATGTAGCCATGGCTGTTCAAGCCACGGCTACATAAGTGGCACATTTCAATGTATCCGAGATATTAACTCATAAGGAAACAACTATTATTATCATTATCCTTTTTTAAAAAATGATGGTAGATACATTTACTTATGTAATATAAACTGTAATTTTTTTCATTGTCACATTTCTCAAAAGACTAACCAATAAAATGCTATAATTTAGATTTAAAAATGTTTAACAAATATACCAAGATCAACACCAATGTTAAAGAGATTGCCTAAGAACAGTTAATTCATTTGTCACTGCTCTGTTAGAAATCCTTTTTATGTAATGTTTATAGATCGGATTTGGTTATTATGATAAACAAATTGGGGATCATGGCTCTTCACAACTTCCTATTCCTTGTATCTCTCAGCAATATTTGTCTATTCAAGCTTGATCAGTCACATACTCACTATGTTTCTCTTGCCTTCAATATTCAATTCCTGACTTCGACAGTTACTCTCGGCCAGTCTGTGTTATATGACCCCATTGATCTCTCATTCTTAC